CGACTAGATCAAAAATCGTATTCTTCCTAAATGAAATGAAAATTTCGGGAAAAGACAGAATTCATAGATTCCGTCAAAAAATCCGTGAATTTGTTACAATAAGAATGAAGTATGAAACACTCAAAATTATCGTTACGAGTTCATAATAATTTAAGTATATAAAAGTTGCTCAACACTAATGCAAGGCTTCATTCTTATTACAATAATTTTCAGTAAGCAAAGGCGTATTTTCCTTTCAACATCTGAAAAAGGAGGAATATAAGGACAAATAATGTACAGAAACCGTTTACTTAACTTAATCTTTAGTCAAATAAAGTCAACGTCTGGAGGCAAGGGGAGCGTAATCCTTGATACTGTCAGAAAATTACTAACTGCTCTCAATATTCTCTCGTTCGGTTTCTTGGCTCTGTCCTTTCTAAATACTTAGAAATCAAGACAAATGATAATAATAATGTTATTGATACCCGTTTTTAATCACGATTCCATGAACACTACGATGTGATAATTGCAAGCTAAAGAATCAATATATACGTCATATAATTTAGTATTTAAACTTAGTTTTGGTGAGTGTTATTCGCCGTTTTGATTGAATGAGACTTAATATTTGTCTCATTATAATAGTCATTTTAATGACTGTTATAAACTTTATAATGTGACGCCGATGGCATTTTGAAAACAAAAGAATGCAATTTAAAATAAAAATAGCTGAGCGCTCCTCGGTATTGCTAGTGCTTCAGTTTACTGTTCTTCCTGTATACTTTCAATATGATACTCGACTTTGTAAATTACATTAGACTTTCATAGGAATTGAGGATAGCTCATCAAGGTTCCCCTCACTCTTCAAGGTGGGGGTCTCTGCTAAAAATTTCTTTGTTAATTTATGGTTTATCGCGAAGTATTGCATTTACGTAAATAGGAAGAACGACATCTTGGTTGTTGTGACAAACTGTCTGTCCACACGTACAATGATTCTGGAAAGGAATCAGGCGTAAGTTAACTTCTTCGAAAATGCTAATTCTAAGCAAATGTGGCACATTTTCCGTAATAAAATTACACTGAGAGGTAGTGGTTGTAACCCTAACGGGATAGATTTAAACGCAACGTCAACGAAATGTCCGCAATTCACCACCATTTTTCACTAATTTTACAGATTTTTCTTTCGCATTGCAAAATTTGGATAAAAGAACATTCATTAGAGTGCTGTTGGAAAAATGACATATACCTCGACTGCCTTGCCTCTTCAAAGTTACTGAACAGATCATTAAGAAATAATTTGATTCCTTCCTGAATAACAGGATCTGGACATTGCACCTCGAAACTTTTAATTTCCGTCGCGGAATCCATTAGGGATTACATCAATGCTGGTAGGAGCTGTGTCCTTGTGGCTGTCGATCTAACAAAAGCATTTGATAGAGTCGCATGTGCTAATCTTATTAACAAATTATATTATAAATTCAACTTTTCTCGAAACTTTTTTTTTTATTCTTCAATTCTAAAATAAAAATATTTTGGTATTCCATTGATCTTACAGATTCAATGCAATATCTAGGGGCAAGCGTTGATCGCAAACTCAACTTTGGCCCTTACATTGACAACGTCTCTGCTAAAGTTTGTCTTACGCTACGAAAACTGTACGCTCTAAACCTTTATCTGCTATAGGATACCATTCAAGATTCGCTCCTCATGACATATATTCAGCATTATATTTTTGGATGCCCAAGTTATAACTTAAATAGGCTTCAAAGTATTGTTAACGGTATAAAACGCTTTATTTTTAACGTCAAGCTTACAGACCATATCTCCTCGTTCATACTTTCTTAAAATTCTCCTCTCCCGTTTATCTAAAACTTAGATTGCTTATATACTTCTGCAAAATCACTCAATCTCGATCTCCAAATCTTTTAATAGACCGATTGCAGTTGTCTAGCTCGAATAAGAACCGTTTCATTTTAATGCCACACTTTTCCATTTCATCAGTCGAACAACCTTTTACTATTCGTGCTGCTAGATATTGGATTTCGTTACCACTGAGTCTGAAATCCTTCTATGATTCGTTCAATACGTTTAGCGGAAAATTGAGCGCCCTTCTAAACTTATAATTTATGTTTTGTTGCTGATAGGAATGGATGATTAAGGGATTTGTGGAGCAAGGTGATTACACGGGCAGCTATCTAGCTGACTTGTATACTCACTATCTTGTAATTTCTTTTTACACATGAAATGTATTCATGTAACTAGCTAATAGGCCTATGGCTTACTTAGTAAATAAAGGAAAAAAAAAGAATAGGTTACTCGACCGCAATTTTATGATCGGGAAATTTTGCACTCAATATTAAAGTAAGTGCATACTTTATACTTTATAAGCTTCCGTAAACTTACTGCTTGATACGTCGACTCGATAATGTGGAATTGGAACCTATACGCAAAAATTGCGGTCGAGCTTACTGGATATCGAGAACCATAAACCGTTCCCACGATCCCACAAACACCTCCAAGAAAAGTAAGATTGGGTATTTACATTCTTAGTCGCAAAATCTAATAAAGACAAAACAACGATTCTATTCAATCATGTTTCTTCTTCTGCAATTCGTTCAATTTGATAAAGACCTCATATGCTTAATAGACTACAAGGTATACGTAGTTCTCGATGTCACAAAATGTGCTTATCGGAACTATTTGGAGAATTGAGATGTGATACAAATGCAGCTAAGACTCATACTAGAAAGTTTGTTATTACCTTTTTTCTGTTTACAGTCGACTTGGTTGTCTTTCATCTATACACCCATGGAAGTAAAGAATGTACCAAAAGGAAAATTATCCTCATCATATATCCAAATATCGTATGGAAGCAAACGCTTGGCAAAGTGGAAAAGGAGTAATAGTTTCCACTTATCTACCAACCCTTCTCTTCACAATAATAAATTTAATTATAAACCCTAACGCTTTATTAATCCTCTTGATGTTTCCCATAAATATTCGAGGCCACAAATTTTCATAAAATAAAAGCATAGATGTAATATTGTTTACAAATTTTCAAGTTTGTTATACCCTGTACGATTTGCTGTGCATCTGTAACTTACAAGCTAAAGGCCGGAATATTATATAAGTTTCGACACGTTCTGCTTGAAGACGGGTTCTATTCAGAAATCGTATGGAGCTGCTAACAGTGTTGCTGTATATATGTCAGACCGGAAGTCTATTGAATAAGTTTATGTATGACTGATTTTTCATATAAACGTTCTCACAAAATATAAGCCCTTATATTGAGTGAGGCTGTGACAGACGATTCAGCACGTGTCAGTAAAGCACGAAAATTATGAATTGCGTCATACGTTCCGCGATCCACTATAAACAATTAAACGTCAAAACTGTGCTGACACAGCTACGAACTCTTGTACAAACGCAAATGCGTGCATTGTGGAAGGAAGCAACAATGAACACGTGATGCAATGTGCAAGAGATAACATAAATGACCTATGTGACCCAACATATCGACAAAGTGTTTATAGAGAGACTGAACGGCGCACGCGACTCGAAGGAGAAGCCTCTGATGATTCCTATATATAGATATAGTTAAATGCTTCGAATTATTGGAGTCATTTCGAAAAAGTTTTACAGCTGATTTAAGCAAAGAGTTTACAAAAACAAACGACGAACCAAATATCCATTTAAAATGTCTAATAGTATACGTAAACAAAATCAGTCAACTGCCGACTACTGGCTTTGAGTGCCAGCTTTGAGGAAACGGTCTAGTTTGCATATATCAGCCATTGTCAAATATGTACGCGAAGATCTTAATAATCTTATATATCATATAAGCACTCTTGGGCAGCATTGGCAAACGGTACGGTTTTTTTCTTTTAATGGCAAAAAAATTAAAAAAAGACACACCATATTTTCAGATTTTAGAATAAATAATAAAAACGTATAATGGCCATCGACGGTGTTATAAAATTTGTGAAACAGTTTTGGAAACTCCAAAATGTTAAATATCTCTTACTATAATTTATTACAAAAGCTAGGGTTCCATTATTTTTTTGTTTGGAGGCTTAGACTTTTATATATATTGGACTCAGCTATAGAGGTCCAAATAACAGATAATTTATATAACTCCAGTGGCAATACGATGATTTTCATACCCATCACCGAAGAATGGGGTGTATACTCATTTTGACAAAATCGTTTGCAACGCCTAAGGGGCAGCTTCGCACGCCCCATAAGGTATATACATTCTTGATCAGCTCTAAATTCTGAATCGATTTAAGCATATCCTGTTGTCTGTCCATTTGTAATGTATATGTAAGGTTTGTTATAAGTGTTCTCCTGGCCGTCAAAACAAAGCTATCGACTTCAAATTTTCTAGAAACATCGCAAGTATTACGAAAAATCGAAACCCCTCTGTTTTTCAAAATGAATAGAACATTGGGGTTTTTCCCATTATTTATAAATTATAGGAGATAAATGTACAAAAATTTGATAGGATTCTTTTACTTTTTTTCCTTTTTCGTGATAACCATGATAAGTACAAAAAATTCGGTCACGAATATAAGTTTCCTACTCGTTATCTGTTATAAAAGATAAATGAAAAGTATGTAATTTTTACTTATATAAAGTACACATAAATACAAAAAAAAAACTAAAACGAAAAAGAGTTTGTTTTTTAAGCCAATATTCGACAGAATACATTGCACGTACAAATATTTGATTTCATATAAACACTTGATTTTTAGTTCATACAGTAGTATACTTGTCAGCTAAACATATTTTCACATTAACCGGTGAAAGTCTTTCAAATTCAAATTCTTGAAAGAAATTTTTAATATAACAATAGACCTCTGCAGCCACTCGATTTGCTTTTTTTTATTAAAAAAAAAAAAGAAAAAAAATGTTGGCCTTACATAAAATGCAAAAATATGGAAAGGTGGGTTGAAAAATTCTTATATTTACGCCAGGGAAATTTGCTTACAAAGAGAAATAGAATCTTTTAAACATTTTGTTAGCATCTCAACATAGCAAAAGTTGCAAAACCATAAGTTTGGAAAAGACAATGGAAGAAATAGTTAAGGAGCAAAGAGAAGTTGTCAAAAAAGTTATTTTAGAACACGGTAAAACGGTTGTGGATACCATCAAAGTGAGCCAGGTAAATATCAACGCCATTGTAAACGATTGAAAAATGTAAAAATGTATTGAAACAGTTGTACGGTGGTATGCGCGGTATATTGGGCTTTATATGTGAGACATCATGTGTTCTTCCAAAAGAGGGCATATTATTTCGGGGTCATTCCACAGCTAAAATAGAGGAATGTCTACCGCGTGCTGAAGACGGCTGTGTCCCCTTGCCGGAAGGTATGATTTGGCTACTGATGACGGGCAAGCTACCTACTCAAGAGGAGGTTAAATATATTACAAAATATTTAAATGAGCACAGCACATTGCCAGAATATGTCATACAAGTAATGGATAGTTTGCCGAAAGAGTTGCACCCTATGACGCATTTTGCCATCGGTTTACAAGCATTACAGCTCAACTCTATAACGCTAAAAAAACGCAAAGTAAGTAGAATTGAATAATTTGTATGAAAAAGCGAACAAAAGCGAAGGTAACGTTTCTTTTACTATAGGAACACCAGAAAACGGAATGGTGGAGACTTATATTGAGAGATGCCATGGACCTGTTGTCAAAAATTACTTTAATCGCAGCCCACACCTACAATCATAACTACCGCGGAGAAAAAATTTGCTACCAAGTAGACTGCGAATTGGATTGGTCAGCGAATTTTACTAAAATGATGGGCTTTAAAAATCCTAAGTTCGATGAGTGCATACGGATGTATTTAACCCTACACGCTGATCATGAGGGCGGCAACGTTAGCGCTCATGCCTGCCATTTGGTAGGTTCGGCATTGGCCGATCCTTACATATCTTTTGTCGCTGGTCTGAACGGTTTGGCTGGGCCATTGCATGGTCTTGCTAACCAAGAGGTATTGACATTTTTGAATGAATTAATCAAGGACATAGGCAAAACTCCAACCGATGAGCAGGTGTTAAATTGGCTTAAGGGTTGGTTAAAACCAGGGAAGGTTTGTTAATAGCCCACAATTTCTAGTCGAAATCTTTTCTTTATGTTATTGAGAGGTTGTTTCTTATAGGTTATACCCGGCTATGGTCATGCTGTATTGCGCGTTACCGATCCCCGTTTTACTACCCAAGAAAATTTCGCCAAACGCAACATAAAAGATGATGCTATGGTTAATTTAGTGCATCAACTATATCGAGTGGTTCCGAATTTTTTGAAAAGTCTGAAAAAAATAAACAATCCCTATCCGAACGTTGATGCTCATTCGGGTGTGCTGTTGTCCTATTACGAAATGAAACAGAATGATTTTTACACAGTATTATTTGGCGTGTCGCGTGCTATTGGCCTAATGTCGCAGCTCGTATGGGCCAGAGCTTTTATGTATCCCATAGAGCGTCCTGACACAACCACTACGGAAGGTTTGTTGGAATTAATCAAAGCCAAAAAGGAAGGTAAAGACAAACAGGGAAATGACACAAAAGACGCAAAGGAAAAATAAGAAAACAAACTTTAAGAAACAAAACTGTCCTCTAAAGAATATGTCTTTGATATATTTCAAATTAAGTTCCAAATAACAACGACAAAAATTAAGGCTAACGAGTTAGTAATGCTCCGGTACAAAAGAATTTCCTATAAAACTCTAAAAACTTCTAGAATTTTTAACGCTTGAACTTATGTCCAATATAAAAATTTAGGTGACTAACATATCATAACTACTGCATATGTGTGCATATATATTGTATATATGTGAATACATAATAACATTGTACTACTTACATGGGTAAAAAAATTGCTTAATGTTACGTGTTTTTCACAGTATTTCTTCAGATATATGATGGCGTTAATTTTAACAAATACAAATGAATAAATAAACATAATATACAAAATCAAATCGCAAACTTTAGCAGCCATATATAAAAAGTATTTTATAAATATTGTTATGAACCGTATCAAATTCTAGTAATGACTATGGCGACTGCTGCTAAATTCTTTTCACTCTAATACACCATTCTGACTTCTTGAAAACAAAAAAATGACGGTAAATACCGTCTCGAAAAGTGTGTAAATTGCGGAAGTGTTGGCAAGCTCATCATACATTTTTCAATGTGAATTTGATAGTGTTTCTGGCAAATTTGTTGAGTTTCTTATACATATTTTCAAATTGTTTCGAAATAAATAATCCTAGAGTCTGTGTGCCGACCTTCCAATTCTTCTCCATATTGCTTGACCTTGCAAATATATTGGTAGGAGGTAAATTAAGCAAACTATATTTTGATCAATAACTATATATAGTTGAAACAAGAAAATATAGATTTAAATATGTGCATCGTATTAATCACATAATTATACGTAAAAAAATAAATTTACAAACTCTATTGTGGATATAAAAACAGTTATTTCTTTAAAAAAAGCTTCAATTAAATCATTCAACAAAAGCTACACATCTTTCTATGAATCTAAACAAAAGCTACACATCTTTTCGATGAAAATGAACAAAATCCATCATCTTTTCGATGAAAATGAACAACAACTCAGAAAAATTCTCTCCGCAACATTTTTATTTTGTTTATGTTTCTATGGCAGGTGTTTCATTCTGCTGTATGGAATTTTTTACTAAAAACTTAGATCGATATGTGAATGTATGCATATTTATTTTATTATTCTTTCAAAAAGTCTAATCTGATATAATATAAAGTATTTACAGATGTATATCCGCAATATTTCCCAATGTTTTATTGAAATCATCTCCAAAATTTGCTTTTGACGTTTAATGAAATAATATTATGTTTTAAGTGAAATAATATCTGGAAAATTTTAAAAGTGCAATTATTATTAAGACAAAATGCTGAAACTGAAATAATAATAATAAATTAATCTTATGTACATTTGTGCTAATAAGTTCATAATCAAATGCGTAAGTAAAAGGTGTACACATACTTAAAACGTAGTTAAAATAAATTTAGTAAAATTCAAGTAAAAGAAATAAAGAAATAAATAAAAGAGTAATTAAGCGAAATTTCATTTTTCCGTACGAAATTTAACGATAAAACTTTTGTTAATGGAACTTATTTATTGTTTAATTTTTTACAACGCGCCAAGCTAAGTCGAATCCATTAGGAATTATTTACGATTTAAAGCCAGCGGCCGCATAGTTTCATGTCGTTTTTTTTTTTTGGCCATTCGCGTTGAAAAAATTATTTGGTTTATGAAGTTATTTACGAGTTAACTTAACGATTGATGTCACCATAACGGTAAAAGCGCTGCTCTCCTAGGTTATGAGCCATTGGGTAAGCTGAGCATTAATCAGAAACAAAAAGTGTTCCGAAAATGAGAGACAACCTGTATCTCTAGGGTTCTTGCAATATAGAACTAAAAACTGTCCTGCTAAAGGATCGCCTTATCCTTCTCTATGCATGTATACGCTGCCTCTTAATACTCAGCGCAATTATATAAGATATCTTGGGCACCGTTGCCAGTTGTGAGTTCGTTGACTTTCAGGAAATCGCAAAACATCATGTTTCTTTAATGTCACCAAATTTAGAGCGTAAACTTGAATAGTAGACATTTGACTTCACCTATTTGTCAGCTCCTGCTAATGCTTAATGAAGTCTATTTTTTTCTTGTGTTTGAGGCAGCTGCTCACATGTAAGGAATTGCTTTTAAACATTCTTTGGGTTCGACCTGTATGACAATCATCATCTTTCTTAACCGTCCCAATTTACACGAATATGTTTGCTTTCTTTACTTTCCACAATTTTTTTACTTAGATTTGCATTTTACGGCAGCCTTCATCGGGAAATGCGTTCAATCCGTCATCTGCTACTCGGAAGACGGACAAAAGAAAAAAATCTTTTAAAACAATCAAGAATAAGCAACGGAGTCTACAAAAATTAGGTGTACTCTTGAGTAGCATTAGGTTTTGAGATGTTGATAGCCATGTTAACCAAATTCGGTCGACGCTTTACTGCTTACGGAGGATCCTCGTAGTGACAACAATAAGTCAAAAAAATAAAAAATAGTAAAAAAAGTTGAGAAAAATGGATAGACAAACGAATAACAAATAGCATACAAGATAGTCCTATTTCTGTATTGCATGTGACAGCAGATAAAAGTCGCTACCTACCAAGTAATATCTTATGGAAATTTGTGCGTAAGTTTCGTGTATATTTTTCCAAACTTTTTTGTGTATGTGGTAAGTATACATTTGTTAATAAATATTAGATGTTTAACAAAATATTAAAGCGAACATTGAAATAAGAAAAAAGCAGTAACACGGCCCTGAAAAATATATTCTTTTCCGCCTGGAAAGAGCCTCAATATATTTTAAGATGCTTAATATTCTGAAAGGAAATATACCCCTAAATGCACAAGTCCGTAAGGATTTGCGTATGTAAAAGTTAAACTATCGTACATTATGTAAACATAAATATATATTCAAATACACACTACCTAAGCCAGCGTTAGCAGCCTTTTCTAAAGATCTGTAAAACTTATTCTTATATTTCTTTATTTACTGCCTTATATGAAAAATATGGTTTATATTGAAAAATATAGAAAACGTAGTTAAGAAACAAAATATATTGTTAAAAATGTTTAAGCAACACAGAATTATTATTTTGCTTTTGTTTGTCATATAATGCGATTTATATATACAATGAAAATAAGAACTAACTGACAGAACTACAAAGTTCTCGTTTAGGGCGTGCAAAAGGAGTTTTAACAAATAAAATGTCCCGAAAAAACAGGCCTAATATGAATGCGCGTGCTCAGCTGCCCAAATGCCTGCCAGACTATTGCGCATTTTTCAAACCCTGCTGGAAACTCAGAGTCTGCTGTTGCTTTTTGATTTCATCCTGCATTTCTAAAGCCATCTTTTTATATTTCTCGGCTTCGACTTCATTCTTTTCAATACCATCTCCACGTGCGTACATTTGACTTAGATTAGCACAAGCGTACATATTGCGTAACTCGCAAGCCTTGTAAGCAAATTCGAAAGCTTTCTTCATATCCTTTTCAACAATGTATTCACCGCTATTTTGGGATGGCGAATCTGTCTTAGCCTGAGGATTATATTCTTCGGGTTTCTTTTGTACACCAGATATGTGCATACCTGAGAGATAAAAGCAGGCGGTAGCATTGTTCATGTCACAGCTTTTACTTAAAAATTCTAAACCCTAAAGATTTGAAAGATTGTACTAAATGGGTTTCCTATAATTATGATAATGGAGCTGCTTACCTTAGGAACATCTCTGTCAATCTCTTTGGGCATAGAACGTGATACCAGCAAAAGTCCCGAATGTAAGCAGGAATCAGAGTCGTTCAGTTTGCATCCCTTCTCGTAATAACTGTAGGCAGCCTTTGCATCTCCTTTGCTGCCACTCTTCCCTTTTCCAAGAAAGCTATAATTGCCAAATTTGAAACAAGATTTTGCATAACCATAATCATCACACGTCGATTTGTAAACCTTGGCGGCCTTTTCAAAATCTTTTTTAATACCTTCCAAATAATCGCCTAACAAATGGCAAACTATATGCGAGTACATTTTTTTAATTTATTACTTCAAATACGTTTTCTTTAAGGTTAGAATGTGTATATCTCATTTTTATTTCTTACCTTCTGGTTTCTTCTCTGAGTAGCAACCAAAACGATATTCAACACCCAACTTTTCTATGTATTCTTTCACGTCTGACTCCTTTTTCAAGTCGTACGCCATGGTTTTCCTAAGCTTGTGGGGTTTTCTTTTTGTTTCAATCCTATTTTAATTACAAAACGCAAGAAAATATCAAAAATAATCTTATATTTTTTCCTCTAGGTCTGTCCGCTATAACGATGTCAATCATCAGTTTACCAGCTGTTCTAAGAAAAAACAAGAAAAATATATAACAGGTGTTAGCTGAATTAAGTTAATCATGTGATTTTTACGGATTTGTGTTCATTTACGGAAAAATACAACCGAGTATGTAAAATATTTGTTACCAATTATGTATTGCGTTAATCAGATTTCATTTTGGGCTTTGTTTACTAATTATGTATCTTTCAGTTAACTAACTCTTATTATGGAAATGTACCATTTGGCTGAGATAACGTAAACATGCCCATCGACTAGCTGTGAGTGTACAGTCATTTTATCATATTTGCGCAGCAAATGAGAGTTAATATTTATAGTTTCTTCAAAATCACTGGCAGCTGCCAAAAATAATAGACGTTTAGTGTCTGGATTTATTCCGATTAAATCACGTTTTGGCTTGTGTTTCGATTTGGGCCCGGGTAAAATAACATCTGGTTCAAAACCGCCTCGAAAGAGTAAAATTGCCAAAGCCGCGTCATGTTGCCGGAATATATTAATTAGTGGAAACAAATTGGCATTTGTGATAAGGTCGCAGCTTAATATCAGAAAATCCACTTTGATTTTGTCCCGAATATAGCGTAAACTATCGGCTGTCCCGAAATCACTGTCACTCGGTATGCAAACAAAATCAAAATATCTTTACAAATTTTTTATGCTTCACAAAATCTAGAAGATTAAATTGATTATCATTTTCATTATCTGCCTGACGGCCCAAGTTGGTATTCATTTAAAAATTTAAAAAAACGAAACCATGAGAGTTTCGCTATAGGACATTAGAATGGGGAAATTAGGGACAAATTTGACGTATGGCTGTTTGCAACGATACAATCAATAACAAAACCATACAAATAACATGCACAAAAGCCACATTATGTAAAATTGTGGACGAAATAAAATGAAACAGAATATTAACCACCTTTATGAGAAAACACAAAAAAAAAAATTAAAAATCGGCGCTAAATAAGTTGCATTGTTTTCCAAACTGGCGCGAATACTTACACATACCTGAAATTCCAATCAGTTGCGAATGTTAAAGTGCAGGTAATATTGGCGAATAAGTTAAAGCTTTTGCAAATAAGTGCCAGGAGCGAAAAGTACAATGGAAATTAAAAATGGCCTTAAGTCATGTTATGGCAAGTTACAGCAAGCCAAAGAAAAGAACGATTTGATTTGTTCGCGTGGATGCTAACATGAAGACCCAGATTAATTTCATTCAATTTCTCATCTTCCTTAATTCGTATCTGTCTTTTCACTCTTCTATTAAAATACGTCATCAAACTTAAAACATACAAAAGCTTAATTTATATTGAAGAAGTGAAGAAAAGGAAAAAAATTAGGTAAAAATAAGAATAATTTGTTTTTCAAATATCGAACTAATTTAAACAATGTTGATTAATGTGTATTTCTAACACAATGCATCGTAACTTCCTTTTCTGCTCGTTCACTGAAAATAAAAACAATGACAAGCGCAACGGAGAAGGACGGATCAGCATGAGACGGGCGAGAAAGGCTTTGCAGGATGCCCCTGACCCCCTAGCGCTACCTCAAAACGAGTAAGTAAATTGTTTCTAGTATTTTAAAACGACGTATAAATATATGTGTTATATTGTTGTATATAGATTTGTGCAGAACTTCTGTGTTCCCAAAGCGGCTTCTCATTATGCTCTGGGGAAAGTTGGTATGAGTCGTGGTATGAATGCAACATATATATGCCACCGGTGTTGCGCTTAGCCATGACTTTGGAGTTATGGCTTTCAGACGTTACCAATGGCTGGCCCACAGCGACCATACCATAAGTGATGCACAAAGCACGTTGCATCAACCATTGTATCAGAGGTGTTACAAGAGTTGGAAAGGAGACTTCTACATCTACTTCTACTACTTTTATATCTTTCTAATCTTTTTCAGGTAATAGTGGACATCCTTTAAAGCCTTGCGGGTTTGCTTCAAAAAAAAAAAAAAAAAAAAAATACAACGAAAAGCGAGTAATTGGAAACATGCATTGGTGTGCACAAAAATTAGTACTACTGTATTTAGTATTTCAATAATCTAATTACAGCTTCATTTGCGTGCACTAAATAGTGACAGGAGCTCTTTTGGGCGACCTATGAAGATGATGCTATTGATATTTATATGGAAGCACCACAATTGATGCATCTGGGTGAACAAGCTAGGGGATTGCTGGCACAAGACTTATATATATAATAATATCTTAAAAATATAAATAATTTTTAAACTTGCAACTCATACAAAAGTTGTCAAAACTTAAATAAATACTGAGAATAAAACATTTTATATACTAGATCTTCAGTTTATTTGTTCATATAGGAGCATAAAGAAAAAAAGATTAATCACTAACAATATATTATAACAGACCTATCAACATTCATTTTTATGGAAAATTTGTTAAAAAGAATCTTTTCTGCAGTAAAAACTTCAAAATGTAGTCACTGGATTTAACTTTCTTATCTTTTTCAATCATCAAATTGTACATAATTTTCTACTCATTTCACTTTGCAGGCTTGTTATTGTTTACCATTCTTTATGCAATGCAAATAAACGCCAATTTGGCTCTCATTTTTTACGTTTCTGTCAGTTATTAATGCATTCTAATGGAAAATTTATGGAGAAGTATTTGAAAGCTGGCGATGATGGTGCCTGATTAACTTCTTGGCGATAATCAATTGTCTGTTAAAAAAACCAGGCAATAATCACGGTGTTGAACGCCTGTTTACATAACTATACCCCTTAATCCAAACTACGCATAATAAGTGCCATGTATAATAGGTGCTAGAAACGCTCTCTCATATCTGTCAAATCACGTTTTGGGGTTTTGTGCACTTATAAGAGAAGGAGTTGTAAATTGCAATGTAAATTCCAAACAAAATTGTTTAATTCGAAACGGCTTCTGAGCCGATAGCCTGTGTTGCTAGTGCTCAGTGTCTTTTTTTTAGTCTAAAAATTTACTTCATTAGTCTAAAATTATAATAATAATAATAAAAATCGAAACGGCTTTGAAACGAAACAAAAATAATAAATTTGTGAAAAGTAAGTTAGTTAATTATTATTGGTATTATTTTTTCTTTTGTTTTTTTTTTTTTTGCTTCTTACTCCAATTATCTAATTAGTACTCTTAATTCACCAAAGTTTTTAGTTGGTGCGCCAAATATACGAAAATATTTGTGTTCATTATTTCAGTTAATTTTATTAAAAATTTTATATAATATCCTTTTTATTTACAATTGTAGGATTTTATTAGTGGTTGTGTCATGTTATTTATTTGTAAGCAAAAAAGCGTGAAATTTGATCCTTATTTCTCTTGTTTTCAAAATAAATTTCCATTGGCAGAGAAAGAAAAAATTTGCACAAATTGGTCATTTACATAAATTTATTTCAATAGCCAGTCAGCAGTACTTACAGTGTTGACAATTCGGTATTAATAATTATTTTTCGTCAGGTATTCATCCTATGACAAAAGCACAAAAAGGGTTGGAAAGACAAAATATTTCGTTGAAAAAAGCTATGTATTTTCGAGTAAATTTTGTTTAATCATTTAACATATTTTACTATTTCGTGTGTATGTAAGTAAAACCATTTCTCCGCTTAGATTTTTTTCTATTGACAGCGGTTTTGTTTTATAAAAACAACTCTGATATATGAATAATAACTCTGAAACTAACTAACGTAAGCTATTTAATTTTGCCCTGGTCTGAGAGTTACATGAAAAGTATGCACGTGAAGCGAACAGTTCGAAACTCAAAAATGAAAGTTACTTTTCACGGTATATAATTAGTGTGCAGAATTTCGCAGATCCGAAAAATTTTTTAATACATTTATCCTCTTTGTTTTTGTTGGTTATTGTATCCCCATGGTGACCTTTAACTTGATATTTGTTAATGTAGAAAATTACTATTAGTTACTTGGCGTTGGGTATCACAATAAAAAATGCTATTATTATAAAACTATTTGAAGAACCACATTGATTTTTCCTGTGCTGCATTGACAAAGAGCAGTTTTTATAAGAGATATTATAAAGGCATCGGACTATCCGGCTCCAATTATCTGTAGCGGTACGTTCATTTTGGAAGGTAATTACGTACAAAAATCTTAACTATCTTTTACTCTTTTCGGAGGATAATGCACTATGCATGACATCGTTACCCATTATTTTTTATTAACTCCCGCTTTTTGTGGATTATATATAGAGGGAAAATAACGTATCTTAAAGCTTAAGTTTTCGGTTTTCGGTTGGTTTCCCATCGCGTATGAAACCAGGCATTTAGCATTGGTTGATGTTTCTTGGTTTTTTGAAATCACTTAGGCAAAAAATATTAAAATTAACAACCAAAAACTGAAGTTATTATGTAGAAAAGTTAAGCAAGTACGAAAAAGGAAAAAACCAATATATAAAATATTAATTAAAAGCATGAATTTAAATTCGGACGATTTTCAGAAAAGATGTCGTGAATGCCTCAAAAAAGGCAACGTAAATTTGTATGATTGCAAAGTAAAATTAAGCCAAACAAACGAGAAAGCCAGCTTAGAAAATCACTTTAATCCAACGATAGCATAATTAGTGAAAATATTAACAGTAAGATAAGTGTTTCAAATATGTATATGATACACATACGTATCACAAACTCGGTTTGCTTAGTTGATCAACATATAAAGATTACCCAGAATGCTTCGACCTGTCATTTTATGGAAGAGGATCGTACTTCACGACAGAGACTCGCGATGAGGCACAGATGTGCTCTGCGCGGCGCTTCCTATCCCTTTACGCTATCTAAAAAACTGTAAAGCAAATAAGAAAAAACACGCAAAGGCGTAGATCTGTTGTTTTAAGAAATAATACAATTGCAAAATTTGTCAATTTAAAAAATGTACTAAAAACTATTCCACTTACGCACTTTTTTCTTATAGTTATTTGGTAAATTGCTTCCTTATGCAGTTTCTGACCATTACATATAGGTTTGAGGTTTTTTCAATTTTGCAAGCTTATATCAAGTATATGAGTAGAGTAAGTGTATACTCAATTTTCTAAAGTTTTTTTTTTAAATATAAACAACAATTTTTATCTCTTTTCACCTCTCTCTGCTGTGTGATCCGTCTAGTGATTACAACAGATACTCAACCATATGATGAATATATAAGTTTGTCTTTATTTATTTCTGTATGATGTTGTCATCGTTACATAGTTGCTCGTTTAGTTAGTTGCTCGTAAACATTCATAGGCAAGCATCCCCAAACCATGGCAAGCACTCCATCATACTTTGCAGTCGGCAACAAATTTTGGTTTGCCATCACTATATTACGTTTTTTCATTCCTTTGCTTACCATGGTATCCGAATATCCTAAACTTAAACTCGTCGCTAAACATTACGTGTCCCCCAAAATTTATATTATCATATGTCAACAGCATAACTCTTTGCGCAGTAGAGCGTTTACAAAGTATACAACAAGCCGTGGCGCATGGCAAAAAATTTTAAAACTAAAACAGTGCACATTCCCTGCCTCCTTACCCTCACTCGCGCGCACACTCACCCATATTCCGCTCCAGCGGTTGGATGTACGGCTTAGCCAAGCATCATACTTTCCTTTTTTTTCTAAAGTTTATATAATATATATATTTTTTTTCTCATACGTTAAAAATGTTTTTATTATACTATATTATGTTTTACCTTAGATTTTAATAAAAAGGCGTACGCTGACGCTGCACTAAGTCTTCATTTCCCAGGCTTAAGCCATAGTTTCTCTCGCCGTCCAGCTGGTTTGATTAGCTTTCCCCGCCCGATGATAGTGCGTTTATCTCTTTGTGGATGTTACAGCAACATTCCTAATACGATTCCGACTTTGCATTCCCATCCTGGCGAGAGGCTTCTTCATATGTACATATCGTGTGCATAACGGCATCAAGATATTGACGTGTATATATAATGTCCGCGGTGGTTTTTTAAAAAAAATGTTAATGCGAATAAGAAAACGTGGAAATAATACTATAATCCTTTTAGATCCTTGTAAATATATGCATTCATATGCATATACTCGCTTCCTTTTGCAAAATTTGTCTAGCACTCACGTACGGATGTCAATAATAAAAATGCAAAAATTTAATTAAAACTTATTTCAATCAAGTCAGTTTCTTTCATATTATGATACAATATATTTATGATACAATATATTTGCTATACTTTACAATGTTTCTCAAAGTTATATTTTTTTTTTTTTTTTGTTTTTTATTTCCTTAATACAATTTCTTTTGTTTTTCTTTCTTTTTCTTTTTGTTCTTATTAAACAGACATGATTATAACAATAAAGTGGTTGTAGTTGTAATGTGAAAGTTTGAGCAATTTTAGCCGTACATAATTAAATTTCTAATTCGAAAGCTTTTTACTAGCAACTTCCTGAGTTTTTATAAATAATTTTACAGTTGTCTTTATTTTATTTAATTAACTAATTTCTCTTCCAAACACATTTCTTTATACGTATAGTTTTTTTTTTACTCCAATAATCTTTACTTTGTCAAGTTGTTGTATTTGTGTTATTATTTTTCTTTTAAAAATCCTTTTCTTTTTTTTATTATAAAACATTTTTCTGCTCAAACTTGTCATAATACTTTATTAATACTTTACGACCATTTGTTTATAAATGTCATCGTTTACCAATAATTTTCTACATTATTCATTTATTGATAAAAAAAATTATTTTAGCTCCTTGTTTAAGAAAAAAAAACACTGCTCAAAATTTTTCGTTAACAAAAACGAGTCCATTTCTCAACTCGATCTCTTCGCTTTCTACCCTCAACCAACACACTTTGTTCTTTTCCTTTTTTTTCACCATTCAAACCACCAAGCAAGCCTATATTCTTGCCGATGTGATTTCACCTCTTGGCAGGCCGTTATTACGATCTTACTTACTCTATTGTGATAGAGTAGTGGTCGAAGCAGCCGAAAGAACCCCTACTTTACAACTGTACGCGTATGTCTGTATGCCTTGAGTTTTGAAACTCAAGGCATTTTATCATGTTAACTTCGCTTATAAATGGGGTTTCTCTTGGAATACGGGTATGAAATTCGCTGGATTTTTAAATATTTTGAACGGTTTTGGGAATAATATTAATTAGGCTACATTTTTTCGTGGCCTTCTGCAATATCAACCGTACGAGATTTTGGATTCGTTTGATTCAACTCTGATAAAATTTTTATTTTTACACACGGTAAGCATGTTTGATTGGCATGATCGGTACTTATTTTCTACTGCATTTGTGTTATTGTAATTTTTTGTAATAGTTTGAACAGTAACACAACTAATTCCAATTGCTCCTCTCCAATTTATAATCACGTTTCTAACGTCTCGAGAAATTTCTTTGGGTTTTTGTGACTCATTATTGACTGCCGTTAACTAAAGATGGTTTATTTTTCGAACCTTCTATTGATATGTTTTCATTGTATGTTCACTTTATTGTGATTTTTTTTCGAATTAAAATATATTTATTTATTTGGTTATTTATTTATTTATTCCACTTATACAAGAAACTCAACTAAAACAAAAGGGCAGTCGCAATCAATTGACTCTTAAAGTAAATTTTAAATTAATTAATATTAAAACTTAGTATAAGTACAAAAAAAGGAATAAGAAGGAAAAAAAAAAGAAAAAAAGCATGTACACAACTAGCATCGAGTCATACCCACAACCGATACAGGACCAAATTGTAAGTGAACCCTTAAGCCTGGCAACCGATAATAGTTAAAAACAATTAATTTTCGACTCATAATGACTTTTTAAGGTCAAAAGTTAGTTCAAGTACGACAAAGGTAAATCGCGCGTATTAAGCAATGGTGCTTTAATAGACTTTAAAGAGTACGTTAATGAGAATAAGTGATAGACGTCATTTAGGTTCTTGCAAACAACTCTGAGCGGGTTAAACAGTTCGTAATTATGTATGCATTAAGTAAGCTTTATCAAGATAAAGTGCCTAGAGAAGCGGTTAGGGACATTAAAAACTATCTCATGAAGTAATGCGGGCGAATCAATTGTACCATTTAATAATTTGATTACGAAGCAAACCCAAGTTTATCCAGTGACAGTAAGGATAACAGAAGCAACCTATTTTCATAGGGTGGAAGAGGGGCAATCGAGGTCCCAACCCAAATTCCTAAGGGTAAACAGCAAGAATTGCTTTTGAACAGATTCAATTGAATATACGTAGCACCTATATGAAGGAGACCACACAACAGAGGCATACTCAAGTATAGGTCTAACCAAACACATGTAAAGCCTTTTCGTAATATAAGGATCATCAAGCACTTTGGACCACCTCTTTATAAAACCAAGCGTGGACTTAGCTTTACTTAACGAGAGCTTAATAAGCAAGTTAAAACGTAATCTACGATCAAATAGGACGCTTAAATCTGTGAACGAATCAACATCTTCCAACTTGTATGAATCAATGAAATAGTGAGTAATGAACGACTTCCTTCTTGAGAAAGAAAGCTTCTTACATTTATTTAGATTTATTTTCAGAAGATTCAAAGAGCACCATGCAATCAAATTATTCAAATCACTTTGAAGATGATGTGATTGCGATTCTACGGAAAAGAAAGAAAACAGTTTCACATCATCAGCATTCATTAAGATCTCGCTGAATTTAATCACGGAGGGCAAATCATTGATGTATAAATTAAATAAAATGGGTCCTAAGTGTCTACCTTGGGGTACGCCAGACGTCACGCGGAATTCATCCGAGGTAATGAGGTTAAACAAAACCCTGAATGATCTACCGTGCAGATAAGAGCTTAACCATTCCACTAAGAAGAAAGGTAAGCCAGAGGCTTGGAGTTTAAAGATAAGTAGTCTATGGTTAACCAAATCAAACGCTTTGCTTAAGTCAGTGTATGCGATCTCAATGCGAGAGCCAGTAGAAAAAGCCTTGAAAACATGAGAAGTAAACTCTTACAGATTGATGACCGTAGAACTTCCGTTTCGAAAACCATGAGAGCAGAAATATACGATTTCATGGAAAAGGCTATATGGTGAGCCACAATTCGTTCGAACAGTTTAGGCAAGACACTCAATTTGGCAATTTTATAGTATTAACTTTATCTTAAGTAAAAAACAAAATATTAAAGTTTTATTTAACATAAGTTTTTCTTTCTTGATTGTATAACTTTTGTTTCTACTGTTATTGATAACAGAAATATAGAAAGTTCGTAATAATCTCCTAGTTGGGAAGTTGAACGAAATCTTGTCCTCATTTAGTCTTTGATAAAAGGTACTATCAGAGAGAAGTAAATGACAAGGGCGATTAAGAAATTTCCCAAAGTAAGGAGTAATACTAAAGAGGGTGAAATACATAGATTATCTATAATAGTAAGAGCGCTATTAATGAGCAGCCACTTAAATGCTTGCTCTTGTATTTTCATCATTTATATCGGCGAAAATTGTGTCAATGCTTTCGTGATGTGACATCACAGTGCGTTTACAAAGCTGTAGTATATAAAATATTGTGTTTTAAATGATTATTCGCTATGGTATACAAGTGTACATGTACCACAAAATAGCGAAACAAAAGGTAGCAAATGTAATTTGTTTTCGTTTCATGGTTTATTTCATATTAAAATATTAAAATGCTCACTAAATGCTCCAACAAATTTTAGAGCAAATTTTCTACGCGAAGACAAATATATTTGCGCCTCATACAGGGCAAGCCACGACCTAATTGAGCCGTTCTTCCTAAACAAAAAAAAACGAAAAGGAAATGGACAAGATCGTGTGTGTAGATTATACGAATGTGCAATCGTTGAGGAACCTGCAGGTGTTCAGGTATAAAACAGGCTTTAGAACAAGCAACGATTATCTTCTTATCAATGAGGTGAATTATGAAATTGAAGAAGAGCCCGAAGAAGAGTTCACACCGTTCGGGCTCGATGGGGAGGTATTTAAAGATCTACACACACCTGAGTTGAATAACATTGAAAAGAGATACCTTCGGCTGCTCAAAAGATTCGGAATAGCGCGATACATCCGTGAGCAGCTGAATTTCCACCACTGTTTACCGAAGAGAAAGATGATTTTTGCGAGCAGGTCAACGGTCAAAAAGTTGTAAAGGACCGCAAAAATAACTTGACCCTTACCAGCAAATACCTGAAGCCGGCCTTCCGGAGACCAGAGGTCAACTAGGCGTTCAACCAAACCTACGATGTATTTCACGCAGTAATGGACCAACACATGGTAGAACGGCACATAGACAAGCGCGTGCATGCGCCTGTAATGGCACAGCTTGCCTTCTGCAGGGCGTCAGGGTCCTGCAGTAGCGACAATACCCACCGAATAAATTTATTTGGATACGTGCTGTTTATGCTACTGACAGGAAGAAACGCCAGGGAACCAGTTGATCAGAATGCTTCTGCATTCTAAGGTAATTGAAACATTGTATAAATAATATTTATAAATTACTAATTTATTTCTTCTATTTCAGAATAAAAAAGGGTCCAGCGTACGTAGAAGGAAAAGAAGAAATCGTGCTTTAAGTACGGAAAAGTAAAAGTAATTAAAACGTTATATAAATAATATTTATAAATTACTAATTTATTTTTTCTCTTTCAGAATAAGGAAGATGCGGCAATAATGCCATATAGGAAAATCAATCAGAAAACGAACCAAAGTAAAGGTAATTAAATTTTTTTATAAAATTAACTTACACATCACTTATTTTTTGTTTGCTATTTCAGAATAAAAAAGGTACGATAATAATGCCAACAAAGAGAATCCTATATTGAATCGATAAAGTGAAGGTAAATATGTTATTATATATTTATATTTATATATTGCTTATTTATATCTTCTATTTTAAATAAAAAAAAACTAAGTTCAACTCTCCGCTCATCGCCTCGTATAGATGAAGATTCGGTGTATGCCAAAAGTAAATTTACATTTATACTTTTTTATTTTTCCTTCTTATTTTAATTATTAATTTGCTTTTACTTCATTTTACATTAAAAAAAAAGCGTACGCCTGCTTCAGCGGGATGCGATACTTCCACAGACCAGTAGTAAGTTTGCGGTCATCTTTACATATAAAATTTAGTAATTACGTTAATTTACCTTTGCAGATATCAACACACCTCTCAACGCACCGCATAACCCACTGTCAAGCAGCATACCGCCATATATTTATTTATTTACCTTATCTTGCCTATATTATACACGTTTATATTATATTATATTAATAAGGGGGCTTTATTTATTGTTGTAAATATTATTATAGTTTTAAGTTATGTTTATAATGATGTAGGCCTACAGGCCATTCAAAACAATTGGCAACGCGTTTATCACGGTACCTCAAGGCTTGTATGGAAAACCGTGATAAGCGACCTTAAGCAAAATTCGTATACTACCCGAAATGTTTAACAATTAATTACGTTTAATATGTTTAATAACGTTTCATGTCTCCTCTTCTTTTTAACATCTCTTCTGGGATAATAATTCAAGAAGCTATTCAAACGATCGAAGCAAGCGTAAATGATAGAAGTAACAACTTTAGATTAACCCTAAACATCATTAATAACCAAAATGTAGAAGGGTTTTCCAAGCTCATATAACTTAACTCCATATTACACGAATTTAATCTCTCCTATTATTTGTCTGTTTTATCTTATCACACGTTTTCTTTCCTTCATCTGCATGGTGGGGTTTTGCAACTGGTATCCAAGGTTTATTGGTCACTCATCTCTCAAGAGTGCGACGTATTTGGCATTACTAAAAATGTACTCGTTTCGGTTTGATGACCAATTTGTGCTTGATATTTTGCAGCTGGTTGCACTTGGATAGTCGACCCATTGGTTAGAGTAACCTCTACTTCGGTGGATAGTCTCTCGAGTGGTGATTTAAATGATTTGCTGAATTGTTGGCTGATAAAAGAGCTAATGGCGCCAGTGTCGATTGTTGCAGTCATTATTTTCCTTCCTATAACGGAAGTAATTGTGAATTTATAACCTTTAAGAATTAGTGCTGGGCATTAAACGGAAGGATTGGATTGTCGGGATTCGTTGCCCCTCTGTCCAATCGAATTCCGTGGGAGCTTTCCGGCTATGGATTACAATTCTGTTCTCTTGCAGTTCGTCTTCTACCATAATTTGAGATGTCTCGGCATTTAACGTACCACATGTAGCCAAGAAGCACGTTCCAGAAAATCTATTCTAACTTTTTTTTCTCATCCATTCTAGTGTGGCGCATTAGATGCTACGAAGCTACGACGTTATTTTTAAAAGTCTCGTGGACCCGTTGGATTGGGATCCGAATTTCATCTTCTCATCTTTGTAGACAACGTAGCGGAAGGAAGACTTTAGAAATCAGCTTGAAAGATGTAATACGACGTCCATTGCTTCCGGTTCTTCCGAAACCACGTCAGCGCTGTGTCTTGTAATACTTCGGGTATTGTGCTCGGTAATTCTCCAGGATTAATTTCATAAGACTCCGTTAATCCTTCGATTCCTTCACTGAAAGAAGCTTGGCATGCACCGTACTTGGTATTCCATTTGCGGAGTGTTTCCATAACTGCTTCTCACTGATAGATAGGATAGCTTGTTCAGGATTTATTACTTTTAGTGCTTGTACCGATTTCATATCTTTACTTTCGCTTACTCCATCTACAATAATTGCAGATTTTGGTGACTCATGTTCAGCTTGCAACTTAAGGAATCGGCCTATTTCTTCAGCTGAATGCTCTCTGATGATGAATTGGGCAAGTTTTTTCGCCTGCAGTTTCCTGATTAAATTCATTGATTATATTTAAACCTTCTTTAATTAGGGCGTAAGCCAATGATGTTTTCAATACTTCATTAATTTTCTTATTTCTTGCATAGAAAGGGAATAATTAACAGTTGATAACAAGATATATTTTATACTATATGCACGCAGTGAATGTCTGGAGAAACTGTTCTTCGATGTTTATAATCAGAAACGCCATTTTTCCGAAGCGAACTTGTTAGAAGATATAATGTATGAGTTAGCTTTGGCATTGATTCGATTTTAAAAATCTGCTATATAATAATTTAGTTATAAAATTCTCTTCGGCCTTTTAAAACTAGCCGGAGTTAAATTGAGTATATCACTTTATTCTTGATAAAAAAGCGGCTTGTGTCAACGATGATTTAGGTTATTCAAAATAGTCATATACTTTCGCAGAAAAGAAAATAAAATTCGGTTGCAGCCCGTCTGCTAAAATGATTTAGTGTTTTAATCTATTTTCCCAACGCAATTTTAATTTAGGAAATATGCTATAACGGTTTTCTTTTGAGATATTGTTAATGAGATTATCTCAGCTCAGTGAATGCGATACATTTGTGTGTATGACGGAGCAGAACGGTAGTTTTCTGAACTTCGAATTGTCCGCAAGTATTTCTCTTCGTGTGGAAATACTATACCAGCAGAAAATTAACCAATCGTTCCACTTTGAACATGTTTCTAAGTTCACTGTTTTCGTTATATTTTCTGGTGAGAGCAAATACAGTCGTTTCACTAAGAATTGGGCGCTTTGCGTGGCAATTTCTAGTCTTAGCTTGCTATGACGTTTTTGTGCCAACGGCCTACGGCGAGCACGGCAATGGTCATGTTATAGTTTGGGCATACATTCGAGCCAATGGAGTTGGAACATTGGTGTTTATTGATGGCCTTTTAAACAAGGAGCGTTATTTAAGTTAAGTTATTGAAGGAAAATTTTAAATGAAGTGCGGGCAAAGTTGGTATTTTGGAAAAATTCTACCTCAAGTATAACTCCCTCTTAATTCAAGAATGACTCTTATATAACTGCCACGAAGTGCTTCACTCCTTTCCCAAATCACAGAACATGAACCCCATCAAAAATATGTGAGATGAATTGGATCGGTACATGCGAAAACACTCAATCTCTTTCGTCTAAGATATGAAAAATAGACTATAAGAAGAATGAAGTAAGATGCCTGTTTCCTACATAAGAAAAATTGTATAAAATATGTCAAGACGTTTAAACAACTATTAAGCAAAAAGGATACGCCACTAGATGTTAATTTTTAATAATATGCGGTTTTTTTTTCTTCGTATTCTTCTTTATACGAAAAAAGCCAATATCAATGACGTTTTGTTTTCTAAGTTCTTGAAGTTATTTAGTTTTCTTGTATAATGGAATAGTGTTTTGTTTGTTGTTTCTTCTATATTTTAGTATACATTCTCTAGTAATACAAAATAGTAAAATAAATTTTTATGCTTAGACTATGGACTAGGTTTAACACACGTTAATTTTTTGTTAAGCAAAAAACCCAATATTAATGAGACTAGATGTTTATCTATTTGTTATTGGCGGTAGTTAAAATCCCACATCGATATTTCAACAAAATGAATTCTCTTCTTCGAAAGGGAATTTTTATAAATTTCAATATTAGTTAATTTTTCCGTGAAATAATTCTCATCGTGTCCCTTATTCGTCAAGAGAATATAATAATTGGTATCCTCGACAAGGAATTCGGTGGAGCCAGTTATTATAAATTAATGAAAATTCGACATCTCTTTAACAGTAAATCCACTCTAAACTCCGCAAAAAGAAGTAACAATAATTGCTGTTCGCAGTAGGAGAAATGCATGGGTACAAGTCGGCTACATGTGGCCAGGTTTATCGTAAGAATTACTGATTATCTGTTTCATTGACACAGCATTGCCTGAGCAAGAGTCTGCTCAGGAATTTTGAAAGTTTCTCGCTTAACTTTTTCTCGACGATAAGAAACTTAATAATAATGGTTTATGTTTGCTGCGGTAGCCGGGTAAGACTCCGCTCAACAGTATAAACCTCCCTTAATATTAATATCTTTTCGGCGATGACCCGATTTAACGATCAACCGGTGTTTGGAAATCTTTTATATTCCCAATCAGCGTACTCTGCCAGAAAAAAATTTCTTCTCGCTTTTGCCGTGGATGATTGTCTAAGAACACGAACGGTTGTTAAAATCTATTCTTAGATCTTTAATAAAAATCCAAAAATCAGCCGAACGATAGAAAACATTAGGGCTCTACTGATAGTATAGTTCTGGTTGTATGATTGTCTTGGGAGAAATTGTTGTTTGGTAGATGACGAAACAGAGATAGCTGAAATTTCTCCTTAAATGTTTGTTGTGGGTTTTGATGACTCTCTTAATTTTCAAGAAGCAGTGGAAAAGGCAAAAAGGTGCTGTGAATCGAGACATATTTCTTTTCGCAATACCAGCTAGGAAAATGCTGAAGGAACATTTTTACCATATATGCGAAGATTGCAATAAGAATCATATATTCCTGTGTGTGTTGAAAACCATACACACAGTAAAGCCCATGCTACGTGGATGTGTGCGCATACAATAGATTATGCCGCAGGGAGTTATGTTTGCCCTTGTTTATATATATTGGGTTGAGTATATATAGTGATATGTATTTTCATATAAATGAATATAAAGATAACACACATTTCATGATGGAAGATAGCAGATACATCTTGAACGGGGAAGTGAGGTGACTTCAATTTTACACGTCACATGGTAGGAAATTTGGTTCATATAAGTATATTTATTTGTCTCTAACATATTGTTACGAAATTCGCTTCTGGATATCGTTCGTATCACTATATATGAATTTTCTTTTTAAGAGAAATACACTTTCACGTTTTCAGTATTTAAGGGTAGGACTATTACCCCTTTACTTTGGCAATATTCTTGACTTCTTAACTCTAATATTCTTTTTCTACTCAATTTTTCTTGTCCGACTGATTCTTCCTTCCGCAAATAGAGTTTTTATATACATTTTTACAAGCATATTACTATTACCTAAGTTCATGGCTTCATTTTTTATCTGGTAATCTGCTTTTCCCGTAATCTTTTTCGTCGGCCGGCAGCTTCATGACGCACCTCGAATGTGCACTTGGGTTTCCTCTCTCTATGGAATTAGTTTAATTTTATTTGGGAATAAACTGGATTTGGGATTTCCCTAACAATATATAGAGGTTATGAAAAGCAAGCCATTATAAAGAGAGAAAGCCTGATTTCTAGTTTTTTATAACGGAAACTGAAAAATAATAAAATTTTTAGGAAGTAATTAAAGTTTGCCATATTTGGATCACTTCATGTGATTTTTTGGGCATTTTATAACATACGGGCTTCCATGAAACGTATCCCTTTGCAGTTGTAGTTTTTGGTGTATTATTACCAAAACGAATGAATAACTTACTACTTAATTGTTCAGCATTAACTTGTTGGCTTTCCCTGTTGGGTTGGAAAATTCAACACAAATCCATAATGTGTTCCTCAATCCATTGAAAAAATCTTTTTCAAAAACTTTTTTCATATCTTTGAAGATATCGAATAACCTAATTAATTAAAACTTTCGTTACGCATGAAGTCCAAACCCCTTTGCGTTATCATTTCTGCTATTTTATACGGGTTTGCATAAATGGTATGTTTTCTATCATCGCGTGGAGCAACCTGAACTGCTTCATTTTCTTTAACTACTAGCAAAATAACGTCAGGTAGTAAAAATTCAAATTGTTAGTCCGGACAGTTCTTTTGTATAACGGTATGTATTGAATTGATTGAAATACGTATATATATATATATATATAACCCTTTTAAATAGAATGTTGGATGTGTAAACTTACCAAAAAAATATATATAAAGTTCCAAATTAGAAAATTTTCGAGAACCTTTTTCTTTTTTTTCATTTAAGCGCAAATTTTTAAATTTATTAATTCGTAATTATTGCATCATCTAGAGGACCTTTTCCTAAGACCTGGCACAACGCACTTGTTCTCAGTGTTTTGCTTAAAATTTGAAGAACAAGAATGAAAAGAAATTGGATATCAGAAAGGTGTGAAAATTCTAAATTTGTAGAAAATGGTTAAATCTCCTGGGATATATATATTCGTTCACTTCACATTAAGATCGTAATGCGAATACAAAAATCATCAAATATTAGCATATTTAAGAAGGTTTTTGATGAGATAAAAGTGTTGTCTTCATCCAACTTTTTATGTCTTTTTATGAATTTTCGCTTTGCAAACGGGAGTAACATACACATTTTACGTAAGTGGCGTCTGAAAAACACCCTAAGAAAGATTCTAGAACAATTGTTCTTTGATATTATCCGAATTTTCCCTTCACAACAGGGAGCAATATACAAATTTTATGTACGCCGCGCCTGTGTGTGGTTTGAATACAATACCCCAATAGATTGTTTCATTATTTTCTAAAAGAACATTTCTTACTTTTGAATCACTTTCATTACTTTTCAATCACTTTTTCATAACGTTAGAACACTTCTCATTATTTCTCAAATACATAAAGCGTGCAAAATGAAAATGTAGAAAATAAATATGTAAATTTAAAGGTTTTATATTTAGATTTGTAATTCATATTGTGTTTTACTTTTTGTATATTGTTTCCGTTACTTTAAATTTGTTTCTATGAAATTTTTTTCTTTCTTTTTCATTTAAATAAAGTTAAAATTAATTAAGCAATAATTTGTTTAAGTAAATGTCCTCTATCGCGAAATCTCCAACAGATTTGATATTATATCTTCTCTCTAATCGCGTCTACTTTTCTCTTAACTTAACTGGTTTGTGGTGTATATAGCAATTGATAGATAGTACTAAATTGTTTTTGGTAATCGAGGCGTGTTTTCATATAAAGCGCGTTTACTTTTGAACCATTTTCATAAGTAAGTCTGTTGATAACGATTTTGGACGCTCGATGGGTAGACCCAAAGCACGATCCCAAACAAGCGAAGCCAATACGCCGAGAGCGCGCGATACACCGAACAACACCGTATAGTAGTTCATCTCCTTCATGCCATAATATTGCAATAAAACACCGGAGTGAGCATCCACATTAGGCCAGGGGTTCTTAACTTTTCCAGTTTCCTGAAGAATGGGTGGAACAACTTTATAGATTTTGGATACCAACTGGAAAAGTTCATCATTAGGTAAATGTTTGAGAGCGAATTCACGTTGACAGGTGTAGCGAGGATCGGTCTTGCGCAATACAGCATGACCATAACCAGGCACTACTTGACCGGATTTCAGTGTTTTCCAGATATATTCCTTCAGTTGCTCTTCGCTTGGGTTGCTACCAGCTTCTTTTTGCAACTTACGTAACCAGACCAGCACTTCCTGATTGGCCAACCCATGTAAAGGTCCGGCCAAACCGTTCATACCAGCGGCAAATGATAAATAGGGATCGCTTAAAGCAGAACCCACCAAATGTACCGTGTGAGCTGACACATTGCCACCTTCATGATCACTGTGTATGGTCAAATATAGACGCATTAATTCTGTAAACTTGGGATCATCGTAACCCAACATCTTAACAAAATTAGCAGACCAATCTAAGCTCGAATCGATTGACTTCGAACCTTTTCCATTACGATATGTGTTACAGTAGATGGTGGCAGCTACTACTGGCAGTTTGGCAATCAAATCCATGCTATCTTCATAGACATGTTCCCAATATTTTGATTTGTGAACACCCTAACAAGAAGAAAAAATCAACATTGAGATATATATAAATTTTAAGATAAATATCCTTTTTTCACTTACGTCTGAGTAGGCTTTGGCAAATTTGCTGTCATGATTCAGGGCAGTGATGGCAGCCGAAAATTGTGACATGGGATGCAAGCTAGTGGGAAAATTGTTCAACATGGTCACTACATGTTGTGGCAAAGCAGCACGTGCAGCCCACTCGCGTGAAACTTGTTTTACTTGAGCTTTGCTGGGCACTTCACCAGTCAACAATAACCAGAATAGACCTTCAGGCAGAGGCTCCTCACCGCCGTCAGCCGCCGGTAACACTTTTTGACATTCCGGTATGGATAGACCACGAAAACGAATGCCTTCCTCAGCATCTAAAACTGAAGTTTCCGTAACCAGAGCTTTAATACCACGCATACCGCCGTACATCTATAAAGAGAACGCAAAAAAGGTAATGTTACGTAATTAAAAGTACAAAAATGTAGTCAAAGGCATTGTATCTCACTCTTCTATATATTTGCACGTCAATACTGGGCAAACGCAAAAAGAGTTTGTCGAAATTTAGGAAGAAATTGTTTAGTCATGTAAAACTAGTTTCAAAAATCATAAAGTTTTAAGAAGCAGGTGAAGAAATTATTGGAATTTACTCATATTGAAAAGAGTGATTTACCAAATTTCAATAAGACTACTGCAGTTCCCAAAACTGCCTACTTTAAATCGTTTTTCGATTCTTGAAATTTCGAAGTACGAACGTCGTTTGCCTTATGCCTATGTATTTTATTTCGGAAACACGCTGATGAGAAGCAATCCTCTTATCAATAAGTTTGCGAGTGAAGGGAAAAAATGGTAATGAAGCCAATCTCTAAAAAGCAGATTCCTTCGGGATCTCATTACCTAAGGCCTTCTTTTTGATAATAAAACACCAGAAATTACACATTGTTTTGAGGCATACTTTTCATGTGAGCCAGCATTATCGAAGGTGTCCAAAATAACATATGAAGTAATTCAAACATAGCAAACTTAATTTACTTCTTATAACTACACTTTCTTCTTAATAATATGAACCAAATTCTGTACCGTTATTGTTTTTTGTTAATTTGCTGCTAAGGACAAATTTTCATAATAAAAATTAAAAAGAAAAACTTTTTCTGAAAAGCTTACTGTTTATGAGAAATTTTATTTAAAGCGAAATACAGAAAAAATATAGAAAATAGACGCATGTGTTCTAAATTTGCTCTACTATATTTTTATGTGCAATTACCATCAGGAATAAATTTTCGTTATGAAACATTAACAATTAGGTCTTTTTGGCATATAATTTTGGTTTATATTTCATGATAATCCTGGTATGCGGTGGTATCCAAAAAATAAATTTACGTAGTCAAAATTCGAGAAGGTTAATTTCAATATCAATTTGCTATTATGACCCAATTTTCACCATGAAATATTGACCTTTTCTACGGTATAAAGATTCAGTTATCGCAAGAACTGTTATATGAGAGGAGGTTCGAAAAATTAGCTAAGCCGAATCAAATTTTTCGTATCATTTTAGAATGCCGAAATACTAGCACACACTGATTTTTGAAAGTTTCTTTTTTTTTTTTGCTTTTAACGACTTTTCAAAATAAGGCATTATATGGGGAGGGGAACGATCCAAATCATTTTCAATAAAGTTCGATCTTGTGTTGTGAGGGCAAAAATTGCCCGTAACCCCTTGCTGGGGTAGCTCAGCGGCTTAAAAACTAGTTCTTCGTAACTGACTACTCTTTCTCTTTCCCCTAACTTCTCTTTGCTTAATCCTATAGCACCCTACTTAACTTCTAGCTTACTCTAGCACCTCCCCTCCAGAGACGGAGAAGCTGTGAGGCCAAAACGATGGACGACTTTGGTTCCTCACAGTCTCAAAGCACGTTAGTACATCAAATTTCATTAAAATATCTCAAAAATTGCATCCTGTAGGTTAGAGACAAAAATACATGGGCAGACATCAGACGGGCAGACAGACAGACAGGGTTGGATCAATTCAGAAATTGGTTTTGAATCAATTAGATAATCAAAGGTGGGTTTATTTTAACCCTTTATGGGTGTTACATACGTCCGGACAAACTTAACATAGCCTATACTAAAAGTGGCGTAGGTCGTTAAAACGTTTAAAAATAAAATTCGACGTATTTTGATAAAACTTTGTGCAGAACAACAATGTTATGTTAACTTAGCCAACAGTTACCTAAAAGCAATACAAAATATAATCAACCCCGCTTAACTATTTTTTCTTAAGGCCTTGCTGATCAATTAAGTAAGTAAATGATGATCTAACATAACTAGTTAAAATGTAATCCCAAGGTAAACTACATTGAAAAATAAAGATTTAAAAAGTTCGCGTACTAACAATATATAAGATAAGCCATGTTTTTTAGTTGCGGCCATCGGTTCAAACTAATAGCTTTTATCCAAATGAATGTGAAGAATTTTCGGCTTAAATAAATATCGAAAAACGAAAGATGAGGAAAGATTAATTTACTGTAAAAGAATCAATGAGCAGAACTTGCTGAAGTAAAACAAACATGGAAGCCAAGAATGATGCTTAAGATATTCTATTGGGAACGAGGAGAGCAGTTTCTTCTTTATGGCTGATGTAATTAAGATGTGATTTCAGTTCGTAATAAAAATATATTTAAGGATTGTGTAGTTTCCTTAAGAGTACAAAAGTGCAAAGCGAAATTTACGTACCTAACCGCTAAGACAAACAACACATTTACGACAATACATTTAAAATGTGATATAATCGCTCACCCCAAGCAAGACGGCCAGCGTAGTCACTAGAAGATGGGGAAGATATATTTCAGTAAACGCTTACCATATCGATAGTGGTTTCACCCATTTTAAACGACCCATGTTGTTTACGGAAATTCTTTACTCTCTCCTGTTCAGCTGGAATCTTAGCAGCTAAAACGTCACGCAAACTGGAATCGGCTGATATAAAACGAACGTAAGAGGCCAACAAAGCGTTTATTTTCTGTAACATGTATAAAAGAAATTAAATATATTACATAATTAATAGACTGATATTACAACGCAAGTTGTTGTAGCATTATAGCATCACATAAATTTCTAAAATACAAGCACGTATAAATTTGAAAATTATTTTATTATAATTTTCTGTTGATAACGAATAACATTTTTATTCTAGTAAATGTGAATGATACGAGTACTTATACACTTTTCAATAATATTCCACTGCATACTTGAACGGTACTTTCCCATGTGCGGCATCAATATAATTTATTCAAGATTTAAATAATTATGAGCTTTGTTCTCGTTACACAAAAAACAGGTACTTTTTTCCTGTATACGATAACACTTTTAGCTTGCAAGATGCTTAGGAAAGAAAATCTGCTGATAATGACATACTGAAAAAATAAAAAAAAATAGATGCACGTACATATATATGTTTGTACGTATATAAAGACGATCTTTGCTCACTAAACTTCTCCACAAAGTTCAAGTTCATTTATTAAACAGTTCAGTTGTAGTTGCTTATGACTAAAAATAATTTTCGTAAAATTAATTTCTAAACTTAAACACGATTTTTCAACTATATCACTAGTATGGCGCTAGGAATACAAGTCTTCCCGAAACCTATTTTGATCACATTCATATTTAAACTAATTATATGAAAATGGTTTCATTTCTTAATGAATTAACTTTTATTTATTTACCTCTACTTTGGGATGTGTGTGTTCATTTATTAATTAATACTTTACTCTATACGCCTGCAAAAAGAATATTTGAAAAGAATAATTTGAAAACTTCGATTTTTCAAGGCAATTTGATTTTGAAATGTACAAACTCAGCACAAAATATATAATCTCATCGCGATGTTAACGAAAATAACAATTTGTTGTTACTATATTAAGAGGGGTAGCCGTCGCAGCAAAAAAATTAAACTTTTGAAATTTTTTTGTTAGCAAAAAATGTTAAAACTAACCAATGTTATTGTTAAGATACTGAACAAATGTGAACGAAAGACATGGAAACTGCAGGCGATCTTCCATTCGTCATTTTGAAAAATCTTGCTTCTTGTTATTGATATGTTTCGTTATTGTAATAAGTTTGTATTATTTTTTTTTATTAGTCTACAATCTTGGCACCATCAAAATGCTTGCCATGTTCAAACACTCTTACTTATCTTCTTTCCGCGGCGATTTTAAGCCCGAAAATGCCTGCTTTGTTGCATTTGCTAAAGATACTATTGCATATTTCACGAAAACAGTTAAGAAATGTATAATTCAAAAGCTGCATGTGTAATCGACACCAAAAACTGGACCCCGGAGTTTTAATTTCTTCGCAGACACACGGAAAAGTTTCGAACCACTTGCCGCCTCCCGTTTGCAAATTCTTTCAAAGTTTTTTAAAATTAACAGGTAAGACGTTGAGTTGTAACTGCGCAGCACAAATTCCGCAGACTGATTCGGACTGCTTCGGGCAAAAGTCAAAAATTTCAAAAAAAAAGAATAATGTTTAGCTAAAGAATTTTGTCCAAAATACTCTAAAAGATTCAAAGCATCTATCAAGCCAAAAAAAATTTTTTTTGAAAAACTTATAGTGCCATCCTTCTTGAGTAATTATATTAAATTTTAGATCGGCATTTAGTACGTGAGGTTTAATATAGAATTTCGGATGATCAAACAGATAAATAGCATTACATGGTTAAAATAAATCGGATTCTCATTTCAAACAAGAATACATTTTATGGAATCATTAAAAGTGGATCTGGAGGTCGAACATTTGTTTCAGCTATCCTTTAGACTTTGATATTTTATTATGCGATGTGCAGGATAACAATGCATTAAAGAGTCAATTACAACATTATCTCCTGCTCTGAAGCTATCTCTTCGCGTTGGGAAACAAGTAGAGAGCCAGATTAGTTTAAGAAATAGCATAAATATAAATGTTACAATTATTCTTTGCTTAATACAAGCAATAGGTATGTATAATTCTCGTGTATGTAGTAAAAGTCGATCATATTTCATCGAATGTCGGAACGCCAGGAGATCTTTGAAGTGTAGTAGATATCTTATATGATCTCATATAAGCATTTTCGGATATTAAAAATTAAATAACCAAGTTATTATATATTATGTAAACAATGTTGTCCGGTTTCATCTTCAAGACCTGTGCACTGACGTTCGGCTCGAGCGTTTAGATGTTACATATCCAATTACCAGTTGAAAATGCGTCAATCCGAAAGTAATAAAAAATGACATCATTTACTTACATGAATAAGTGCATGTGTTTTTTATTGCCTTAGTTCTAGCAAAATATCGTTTACTTTTTTATTTTGTAATTTAAAAAATGCACGGTAACGTTTTGTTACGGTGGTTTCCTCGACTCTTTTGCCCTTTCTCCTTCTTTCTGTCTTGACAGCTTCATTGGCTATTTTGTTCATTATTCTTGGACCACTATTGGCACGTCTAAACAGGTATTAAGCTTCTTATACGGATTCTTGGTTTCCCGACAGCCAACTTTATATCTATTCTAAGTGTCTTTTTTTACTTATTTTTGTTATTATTATTATAACAACAATATTAAGCTTATATCAACTTTTAACTGTGTTGAGATAATTTAATTGTAAGTTTATTTGACGGAGTGGCTGCCTGATTTTCTTACATTGTGCCATGTTTTCATAATAGAGCAAAATATATAAAAAAACGATATAACTTATTGTTTCTTACTCATACCGCGATGTTCGTACACTACAGCAGTAAGCAACTGAACGATCTTTAAAGGCTTAATAGATTTTACGTTAATAAATTAAGTTTTCTTTGTAATTGATGAATTAAAATAAATATTTAAGACTTAATGCCGTGACGATAATGATCACGATTTCACCGTCAGGCATCCGAAAACTTCTTAAATTGTATCTATCTAGCTATCACAAAAAGAATGAAAAGAAGTGGGAACAGCTTTTTCTAAAAGAAAACTGTTCTCCGAATATTTGCGTAAAATTCAGAGTAAAAATAGCGATTCTAATATACAGAAATGCTCCCGATTCAGAAAAAAAAGTAAACTGTTCTCCGAATATTTGCGTAAAATTCAGAGTAAAAATAGCGATTCTAATATACAGAAATGCTCCCGATTCAAAGCGTTTTGAATCTACGATCGCCTTATAAGTAGTGTTGTTCTTATTTCTACATCGTAACTACCAATTCAATTATGATGATAAAAAAAAATAATAATAATAATTTAGACAAGATTTGGTATTGTGAAAGCGAAAATTTTGTAGGTATGAAATACGACTTTAGCTGAATATACTTACTCTCTGATATTTAATTATAGCAATTATTTAATAAACCGCTTAACCGAAGACGTGAGACGCTAAATGGAAATATAATTTTTGCTCCAAACACAAGTCTGATCTTTTTACCAGAGACAATTGAAATTTACGATTATTACTTAATTTGTTTATTTCTTTCTGTTTAAGTTGCCCACGCGGTTTTTAAGTCTTTATGCAATTTGTTTAGTAAAAGAGGAATCAGCTCAATCTTTCTGAATATATTATAGCTCAGTCAATTATTGTTACTTTTTTTGGCACTTCGATTCACTGCTAATGCAGCTTAAGCTTCAACCTTTGACCCTAACTCTTGCAAAAACGTCAAATCTTTTACAGATGTTACGTATTATTGATTACTTATGCATTATAAATGCATTAAATGCTATATTCCAAAAAGTTTCAGCTCCCGATTTAGTTTCTACGATACTGCCCATTAAACCGCATTTTAATAGTTGTTTCTTCATTTAGTTCTCTTTTTCCCTTGGCCTCTGTTTATTGTCATTTGTTTATTTATTGTAATAAAACTACACAAAAATTTAAGAAAAGGAACGCTAGCAATGAAGTCCATTGACTCGCCTAATGTGACATTTATGTTTTATATATATACGTGTGAAAAATATAAATAAATTTTAAAAAATTATATATGTTTTATATATATTATTGTATTTTACCTGTTTAAAAATGTATAGGTATCAGAATTAGCTTAAGTTCAAGATATTGAATTCATACAAGAAATTATATAATTTAAGTATATTATTTCGTTTGGCGATTTAAGAAAAGATATAATCGTGACAGTCAGCATGATATACTCAATTTGTAATGTTTCATTTTTATTTTGAACAAGAGCTGAAGAAGAGGAAATATATATTATTAATTTTCTGTGCGGCGATATATAATAATGTCCATCCAGATTGATCTGGTCATAAATCCTTGAGCAGTTGTTGATATAAGGTTTTAGTAGTTGGTTCTTGGAGAGAAAGAAACCGGTCAATTCTAATGGGCGAAGGGTAAAGTTTGTGTGATGGTAAACTCG